TCAACTTTTCACTGAACCCCCAACACCCCTCTGACAGTTTATTCTCTATATCTATGAATCTGTTTCAATTTTGTTTATTTATTTTGTTCTTTAGATTCCACATATAAGTGAAATTATATGGTTTTTGTCATTCTCTGACTGACTTATTTCACTTAGCATAATACCTTCTAGGTTCATCCATGCTGTTACAAATGGCAAGATTTCATTTTTTTTTTCTGGCTGAGTAATAATACTCATATATATAGGGTATCACAAAAAATGTATGCAAACACTTTGAATAATTATAAATGTTTATTAAAATACATTTCATTTTCCAAATTGAGGTATCAGCTGTTAGAGTGTGTGTACATTTTTGGGGGACACCCTGTATATGAAACCACTTTTTTATCCAGTTGTCTATTGATAGACACAGTTGCTTCCATATCTTGGCTATTATAAGTGACCCTGCACTATACATAGGGGTACATATATCTTTTTAAATTAATATTAGGGATTCTTCAGATATATACCCAGAAGTGGACTCACTGGTTCATAAGACAGTTCCGTTTTTAATTATTGGAAGAACCTCCATACTGTTTTCCATAGTGATTGCACCAACCTGCAATTGCACCAAGCACAAGGGTTTCCTTTTCTCCACATCTTCACCAACACTTGTTAATTTGTTGGTTTATTCATGATAGTCATTCTGAAAAGTGTGAGGTTTGAATTTGTAGTTTTAATTTGTATTTCTCTCATCAGTGACATTGAGTATCTTTTCATATGTGTATTGTCTATCTGTATGTCTCTTTGAAGAAGAGTCTGTTCAGGTCCTCTACCCATTTTTGATTGGATTATTTTTGTGGGCTTTTTTTTTGGGGGGGGGTGTTGAATTGTATCAGTTCTTTATAACCTTTGGATATTAACCCCTTATCACATGTATCATTGATGAATATATTCTTTCATTTAGTAGGTTGTCTTTTTGTTTTGTTGATGGATTCCTTTGCTGTGCAAAAAATTTTAGTTTGAGGTAGTCCCATTTGTTTATTTTTTCTTTTGTTTCTCTTGCCCAAAGAGATATATCAGAAAAAAATATTGCTAAGAGAAATGTCAGAGATTTTCATGCCTGTGTTTACTTGTAGGAGTTTTATGATTTTGAGTCTTACATCAAAGTCTTTAATCCATTTGAGTTTATTTTTGTGTGTGGTGTAAGAACATGCACTATTTGCATTTTTTTACATGTGTCTGTTCGATTTTCCCAAAACCATTTATTAAATTAACTTTCTTTGTCCCATTAAATTTTTTTGCCTCCTTGTCAAATATTAACTGATGATATAGGCATGGGTTTATTTCTGGGCTTGTTATGCCCAGATTTCAAGACCCCCAACAGAACCACCAGGGAGCGCCGAGTCTGATACAAAAGCATAGAGCCTTTATTCAAGCTGAGCTTGGTCCCTCTGCCTCCACCGACGCAGCGGCAGGATGCGAGAGAGCCCCGAGTCTTGAAAGAACAAAGATTTTATAGGGCTTGGGGTCGGGGGGTGAGGGCTCACTCAGACCACTGATTTGGCCGATTCTGGTTGGTTGAGTGAGGGCCGGGGGCTAGTGACGCAAGGGCAGGGTGCAGCTAGGGTCTGGTTACACAAAGACAGGGGGGTGGTCAGCATACTTTTGGCCTTGGGTTTGTTCCCCTTGCATTCCCTTTGGCTGAGATAAGGGCAGGCTGAGTAACTGATATATTCTGTGGCTTTTTCTTGGAAGTGGGGTCAGGGACACAGCTATCAGTCCCGTTCTGTCCTTTCAGGCTCTCTATTCCTTTCCATTCATCTGTATACCTGTTTTATGCCAGCACCATGCTTTTTTAAAAAATAATATATTTTTATTGATTTTAGAGAGAGAAACATCGATGAGAGAGAAGTAAAATTGTCTCTGTTTGCAGATGGCATAATCTTATGTATAGAAAAATCCTAAAAGTCAAACACATACACATATGCACCTAGGATTGAGCCCACAACCCAGGCATGTGCCCAGACCAGGAATTGAACTGTTGACCTCTTGGTTCATGGGCCAATGCTCAATCACTGAGCCACATTGGCAGGGATCTATGTCTGTCTGGATGCCAGTATCATATTGCTTTAACTAGAGTAGCTTTGTAACATATTTTGAAATCAGGAAGTGTGATGTTTCCCTCATTGTTCTTCTTTCTTGGGCTAGTCTGGATCTTTTGTTGTTCCACATAAATAAATGTTAGGATTGTTTTTCTATTTCTGAAAAAAAAAAAAAAAGGTAGGGGGTTAGACAGCCATGAGCAGAGCAAGGATATGGGCCTGTTGCAGGTCACCAGGGTGGAAAGCCCAGGAGCCTAGCAAAGGACAATTGTAGGGTGGGACCTTGTCCCCAGGGTGACCTTTCCTCCCCCAGCATAAACCTGATCATTCAGTTTAGATCCCCTGACCTTTTCTCCTTAGAGATAACATTTAGGTTTCAGTTGTATTTCAGCCCCAGAAAAGCAGCAAAATCAGACAAGCAAAACCATGGGCTGACCTCAGGACCCGCATTGAATAATGAACCTTTGCCCTGGTGCCGACCAATCAGTCTGTGGAGACCATAACCCTAAAAGAACACACTTGGAAAGCGGCTGAATTTTCTATTGAGATCTCTCCCTGGGGCTTCCCCCTAAAATCTCTACCCTTAAAACCCTTAGGAAGGAGGATCCAGCCTGCTCTCTCTCCCTGAAGCACCCAAAGCCTTTCCCACCCCCTCCCCATCCTCCCAGGCAAGTCACCTTCACCTTCCTCAGTTCTAAGCTCCAAGGGCCCCCCAAGTGCACAAATGTTGCGTACTGGGCCTCTAGTATATTATAAAGCAAAAGAGCCACACAAAAGCACACACTATGTACGGCCATTTTTAAGCATTCAAAAACCGGCAAAACGAATCTGGTGGTAAAATTCTGAACAGTGGTTATTTTTGTGTAGGTATGCAATGACTAAGACAAAACATGAAAGCTGCTACATTGTTGGAAATCATTTAAAATCTTGATCCAGGAGGCGGTTACACTAGTTCATTCACTTTGTTACCAAGATATACAGTCATGATTGCTGCAGTTCTTTTATCCCTTAAAATTTTTCACACCCATCGTTTCAGAAATTTTTAAATATTGTATTTTATCAATGTTGGCAAGGGTACAGGAAAAGGGCTTTTCATATACTAGGGTTAGGAATGTAAATTGTGACAACTACTTAGAGGAAATGGAGGAAAGCTACTACTAAGATTTAAAATGTGCATACTCTAAGAAGTGCATTCACGTGTTAGTATCTGTATCTTCCAGGACACTTATATAGATACAAAAAGGCACATGCACTTATGTTAAAGGTTGCAATGCTTCCAAACGTTGTAGGAGGTGAGAATGGAATGGCACCAGTTGTATGGCCGATGGGGTTAAACCAAACCTGGGTTCAGCAACCTCAGTACTTGGGTCCTGTCTAGGAAAGAGTTCAGCGTCCAGACTCAAACTGTTAATAGAATATTTACTGGATAAATTATAGAGGTAGAAAAAGTAATTCCTGGAAGAAATGGACTTGGGAAACAAGTTATAGAGGTAAAGGAAGGGCCCTTGGAGAGAATAGACAGCAGTTTTCCAGGGGGGTCCTTTCATTGATTGATTGGCCTTCACTGACTGGCTGGCACCAGAGCAGGGGGCATTATTCAGTGCAGCTGGTCCAGATATCAGCCATGGCTGGTTTTGTTGCTTATCTGGACCTAGAGCTGAAATACAGTTGAGGCATAGATGTTATCTCCAGGGAGGAAAAGTGTGTGCGGGTGTCACCTCGGCGCAAGGTCCCACCCTAAAATTGTCCGTTGCTAGGCACCAGGGGCTTTTCCAACCTGGTGATCTTCTGTACTTGGCCCATTGTCATTGCTCTGCTCAAGTCTGTCTAACTTCCTACCACACACACACACACACACACACACACACACACACAGAGAGAGAGAGAGAGAGAGAGAGAGAGAGAAGGGTAGGAGAATCATAATTATATCCATTGGTTCTGAGGACTACCATGAAGTATTTTGAAAGCATTGGGTAAATTTACATAGAGGTGTGAAAAGACCTCAAATATATAATGCTGATACATAATAACATCGATGCATATGTAAATGCATAGGAACTAGGAGTCATCAGATAGGAACTGGGTTTGCAATTAGTACCTGAGCAGGATATTAGCCTAACTTGTAATGTTTAAATTTATGACTGTGTAACTTAAAATTAATAACAGCACTTAGAATGTCTTTGAAAGAATATCCAAGATGTCAGCAACACTAGTTGCCTCCAATAGGTGAACTGAGTGCCCGAGAAACTGGAAGAAGAATTTTCACAGTATAACCCTCTGTTTCTTTAAATATTTCAAGGATATAACTGTAGCATCTATTTGGGGGAGGGGGAATGTTAATTAAAATATATAGATAACTTGACTTAAAATAATTAAAAAATGCCCAATCTCCTAGGAAAACATAATTAAATGTGACTATGTATTATGAAGATCTTGGTGTCAGCTATGTGATAGGAGATCAGAGACAGGTCTAAATAATAGGTCTAGGATTCAAAACGGTGGTGAAGCTAGAACAACAAAAAAAGAAATGTCCCACTTTTTCATTCCTGGAGAGCTTAGTGCGAGGCGCCCACGGGTCCTGAAATCTAGTCCCAATATTATTTTCGAGGCGGAAGAAGCAAAATTGGTGACGATGGGGAAGCGGGCTCTTAGTAAAACCGAGAGGCACCGGATTGGGTCAAGTGCAACCAGCGCTGGCCCTCAATGCGGAGTTCCAAATTCCCACCCTCTCCTGGGGGCAGATAAGCCCGCCCTCCTTCGCCTTTCCGCCTCGCTTATTGGGCAGACTGATGATTGACATACATACTTACCAATCAGTGAGCCCACTACGACACTCGGGCCCCAGCCGGGTCTTTGGTCCCTAGGGCGACTTGCGGACTCTGTGCGTCTACGTCAGCGTGCTGACGTCAGGAGCCGGGTAATCGTGGAGGTTCGGGGGCGGCTGGCGGCCGGCGGTGGGCGGTGGGCTGCGCCTCGCCTGCGGGGCTCGATCCAGGGTCCCGCCCTGCAGAGCCCGCCCCTCTGCTCGCGAGGGCCCCCCACGGGCGCGACCACGGAGTTGTGGTCCCCGGGCCAGCCGGGGGCAGCAGGCCCGGAACCACCCCATGAGGTAGGCTGGGTTTCTGGTCATCCTATTTGACAGATTGGAACACTGAGTCAGCCGGGGTCAGGTGACGTCCCCGGGCTCACCGGAGCCCCGCCGACGGAGGCCGCAGCCCGAGCATCCAGCTCTGTTTGCTGCGCCCTCCGGAGAGGAGGAGGCGGAGGAGGTGGAGGAGGCGCAGGAGGCGCAGGAGGCGCAGGAGGCGGAGGAGGATGGGCTAGGCAGGCTCTGTTTATAAAAGATCCGCGAAAGTGAAGTTGCAGCGTGTGAGCCCGTTTTCATCTGGGGCCTGGGCGGGGATTCAGGGGCTGCTTGCAGGAGCGAGGTCTCCATTCCTTCACCCTGCGGACCCAGGGACGGCTCCGGTGGGGTCCGGCCTCATGTGGGCGCTGTGGGCCCTCCAGAGCGACCCAGAATGGTGACGGGGTGATGCCCGGGTTATACAGGCAAGTGTAACCGGCATCTGATATTCTTCAGGAAAAAAGCTGTGTTCAAAACAAAACTTAGAAATGAAAGCACAAGTCATGAATGAGTTGGCTGTGGGTTAGTTCACTGCTTTGCTCACTGATGGGCACCTGGCCATATTTCAAAATCTCATTAGCATGCTTACTTTCGTTTAGGATTAGCAAGGGTTTTGTTTTGTTTTTTTCTTTCCTCTTTTAGTTCAAACATGGGCTAACGTGAACTTGTCTTACCATTCCCTTAATGTGCTAATTTTTCATCAGGTCATTTGTCTTTATTTCACATGGAATCACTGAATTCATCACTTGGTTAAATTTAGCCAGGTAAAGTAACAGGTCTCACCGCTCAGATATACTGGAATTAACTCGGTTTGTTTATCTCTGAACTCTGTTGAGAAGGGTTCTGAATGATAATTTCTATATTAACCATCTACTTAGATACCAGCTCCTTCTAGAAGCAGGATCTCACAAAACTTATGGTACTGTTGCTTTATTCATAAAGTAAAACATATATAACGTACTATATGCATGCATACATATTTTCTATGATCTGGAAGGATTTATTCTCTTTAAATCTTGCTGTCTCAAACATTGATCTTTTAAGACTGCATTATTGCATAAAACTGCATTAAAGAAATGAAACTAAAGCCATTTCCGGGGACTTTTTCTAACTTGTGTCCACAGAAGGATGGTAATATCATCTGAATTTATTCTTTGGACAAGTTTATCTGATGAGTGTATCATCTATGCCACACTTTGTTTTAGGTGTTGGCGACTGAGTGCTGAAAAATTTAAGGTTTTTGCCTTCAAAGACCTTAGCTTTTGGTGGAGATGCAATAAACATGTAAACAAAAATGACACTTGAGCCCGGCCTGTGTGGCTCAGTGGTTGAGCGTGCACCTCTGAACCAGGAGGTCAGGTTCGATTCCCGGTCAGGCCACATGCCTGGGTTGCTGGGTCAGTCCCCAGGGGGGCATGCAGGAGGCACCAATCAGTGATTCTCTCTCATCATTGATGTTTCTATCTCGCCCTCTCCCTTCCTCTTTGAAATCAATAAGAATATATATTTTGTAAAAATGTCAATTTTAGATAATGATAAATGCCAGAAAAAAAAATATTACAGGGTAAGGGACTAGAGTGTGACTGGGATATGAGGGGAAATTTAGGTATGGTGGTCAGTGAAGACTTTCTTGAAGAAGTGACAGTTTGAGTGAGACCTGCATTTTAGAATGAGTCAGCCATGGCAAGTTCTGCTGGAAGTTTCCAGGCAGATGTGCAGAAGAGCTAAAGGAAAAATGTGCTAGGCAAGTTCCAGAGATAGAAGAGAAGCCTTGTGACTGGAGTGGAGTGAACCTGGGGAAGAGTGAAGGGAAGGACAGCGGTAGGAGATGACACTCAAGAGATGGGCAGGAGCCGGGTCATCAAACAAAGGAAATAGGATTTGTGTATTGCCAGAGCCCTCTTTGTTTTCTTTAGTGATGGTGGTAGACTCTGACCATCTCTGCTTTATTTTGGTTATGAAGTCATTGCAATAATCCATTATATCTTTTTTTTCACCCGAGGTCCTCTTTCTTAAAGAAAAAATGTCTTCTTCCCTCAAGCACTCTGTCCCAAGATGTTTCTTCCCTGTTCATTGTTACTATGTGCAGGACTCTGAGCCTCTGCTTGTCTTCAACTTCCTGGTTCTATCCTTCCTATTGCCAACCATGAGCCCTCTAGTATCATCTTTATGTTCTCACTCTTTGGAAAGGACTGGAACTTAATCCCTGCTCTTCTCCAAGCGAAGTTCTTGGAAACTGCGTTGATGAAGTTAATAACCATTTCCATTGATTAGAGACTTAATGTCTGCCTTCATTTAGTGCCTACCGTGTTCCAGGCATGTTACATACATTTTAATTCTTCCAACATATTGGGAAGGTAAATATTATCCCTTTTTTATGGAAAAGGAAACCTAAACCTAGCTAATACTGAGGGAGTCTAGATTTGAACACCCCAATTAACCCATCCCTAAAGCCTAATCCATGTTACTTTGCTGCTTTCCTGAGTATATAACAGCTGCTACAAATCTCTATTATTTCACATTATATTTTATAAAATGGCATTTAGAGATCATGATTCAGTACTCTCAGTTGAAATCTGGGCTGTGGAGATGTATAGATGTTTAGTGATTTTCAAGACATAACTGATGCCAAATTCTCCCCCTGCCGATTTTCAGCCTAATGCTTTTTGAAAATTTCATCACAGGGGGTTTCTGTATATATAAAAACATAGCATTCCAATGTCCATAAACTTATACAAGGCCATTTTTAAAAGATTAAAAAGTGGTGCTTTGGGGGCTAAAAAAAAATCCTTTGTTTTATTTTCCTTCCCTTTTCTAAGCATTAAACAAGTATAAGCTTTCTGGGTGAATCTTTGGTTTCTGTTAGTAGAAAGTCATTTCAAATAACTTTAATATTTAATTTTTATTTCACAAATCTTTAAAAGGGACTTTAAAGTTGTTACTGTTTTCCAGCTTTAACCTTATGCTTACAAGTATGGGAAGCTTTTTCATTAATCAATTAGAATAATGTTAATGGATTAGCACCCTCTTTCTTAAATGTCGGAAGAAATTTAAATTTAGGCGAAAGAGAGCTTTTGATCTTTAAGCCATCTACTGGATATTTTGTCCAGGTATCTCTGTCCTGTAAGATCGTTCATGCAACTGAATCCCATTCTGATGATCATGATGATCATTTGGCCTCAAATCATAGTGCCCTTCTTCCACTAGGAGCCCTGTACCCCAAAATGCACTCCTGGCCTTTCCTCCAACTTCAGTGCCATTGTTTGTACTCTGCTCGCAGCCTGGAATGCCTTCTAGATGGACAAATCCAGCCGAAGTTCTCCCTGTCCATCTGCATCCATCTATGTTACTCTCTCAATGAGATATTTCCCATGTCTCCTTAATGGAAGCCTTCCTTTTCACAGCACTTTTGGGAGATTTTCTCTGCACAGGTTACCAATCTTGATACCTTTGGTAATGCACTGTTTTATTCATGGGTGCTCAAATAGATGTTAGCTTGAACTTAAAAGAGACTTAATTCATGTTATACATGCAAAGTTTTTTGTAGATTGTAGAGCCCTTTAGTTTTATTACTGCGTTTATTCCTCATCTTTGAGAGAAACACTGAGATGCTTTTCTTGGCTTTGAATCATACAGACTCTTTCCTGTTTCAGTTAAGGCTCTGACTTCTATAGTTAACAAGGGGTCCCTTGGGAGGAACTCAAATCTTTGGGTTGTAAATGTTGAAGAGAGATTGTCGCAAATAAAAATCAATGTTGTGTGTGTTTATAGTGTCAGAAAAAAATGACAGTGATTCCGCTTTTAAAAAATATATATTTCTTTATTGATTTCGAGAGGAAGGGAGGAGAGAGAGATAGAAACATCAATGATGAGAGAGAATCATTGATCGGCTGCCTCCTGCACGCCCCCCACTGGGGATCAAGCCTGCAACCCAGGCATGTGCCCTTGGCCGGAATCGAACCTGGGACCCTTCAATCCGCAGGCTGACGCTCCCAGGGGTCCTCAAACTATGGCCCGCGGGCCACATGAAAATACAAATATTGTATTTGTTCCCGTTTTGTTTTTTTTTTACTTCAAAATAAGATATGTGCAGTGTGCATAGGAATTTGTTCATAGTTTTTTTTTAAACTATAGTCCGGCCCTCCAACGGTCTGAGGGACAGTGAACTGGCCCCCTGTTTAAAAAGTTTGAGGACCCCTGCTCTATCCACTGAGCCAAGCCGGGCAGGGCCGATTCCGCTTTTTAATATTAAAGATAAGAAAATGCAGGCACAGAGAGACGAGCCGGAGACCCCTGCAGTATTGGGCTAAGAAGCCTGGTCAGGACCCCTGGTTCACAGCAGCAGGAGCTTGTGCAGGCCATCTGTTGGCTCCAGTGTCGTACATCAGAACTCCTGAAAGCCTCTCACAAGTTTATCAGCGCAGCTCAGTCGTTTCCGGACTGTTTTGCTTGCTTTTCTTGTGTGTTGACCTGGATCTGGAAGATAACCTCTTGGTGGTGACTCCAGATCAAAGCAGGGCTCTAACCAGGGATCTTCCTGGGCAGGCATGGGGGTAGTGTCAGGTTTGGTAGACCCATGTATAGTTCAAAGGCTTCTCTTCCACTTCCCCTCTCATTAGTTTTCCAAACAAATATATTGGGACTGGTGGGCATCCTCAACCCCTTAAACTTGGATTTTGAAGAATTTGGCTTAGTGCCTTATACATTGTGGTAATCACAAGTTTCTGTGTCCTGTGTTTTCTAGAACATTATACTTTTCAAATACAGTGGGGCCTTGACTTACGAGTTTAATTTGTTCCGTGACGGAGCTCATAACTCAAATTACTCGTATGTCAAATCAAAAAGTGAATGAGTGAGACAGGTGATGCTGGGCTGATGTTGTGGTGTTCACTGTGACGTTCGCTGCGCCAACTAGCGGTGGGGTATCTGAAGCTGGCTCGTAACCCGAATTTTAGCTCGCAACTCAAAGCCAAAAATCGGCCTGA